GGTGGTTTTTGGTTGTTTCATGTTCTAAACGATGTAGAATATTTCACAATCTGTCCAACTTTTTGTAATCAAGGAATTACAGATGTTGATACACAAGTAGAACAGGAACCTTTTGGATCTCGTTAAAACTTAACAGCTTAAAGCTTAACAAGTAGGCCTATAAGGCCCTTTAGTGACTGTTCTATGGTCTACATGATGTTCAATAAAAACAATATAATGTATTTTATAATGAATAGCATGTAAAAAAAATGAACTATTGTGAAAATAAGATAAAATCTTCTGTTTTATTAATTATTTATAATGTTCATTCATTGGAACTTGACGAATAATGAACGAAACTTCTACATTTCTAAAAGCTAACAAAAGAGTTAAACTGGTTGTTTTACTGTTTTAAGTACAGAGCATTTATATAAACGTTTTCAGCAAAGGGATTTTTAGGGAAAAGTAATGCTTAAGTGATCCTTATAAACTATTGGAGAAAATTGGGTTCCTTAAAAAAATTTACCAGCACTATTTCGTGAAATGAATTCTATCGTGTCTAGATATTTAGATTATCATTGACTAAGTAGTACTAAACTCTGGGAGATAGACTCATTTACGAGACTATCTCTTGTGCGAACCAGTAAATTTTTTCTCTTTTGATTCTATTCAAACACCTACTCCATTAATAATGTTTACAATCTAGCAGCTAGTACTACATATATTACTAGTGCCAAATAAGAAGAGATATACCTTTGGACAAGTCATTTACAAGACCAACCCTTATACTTTCAATATTCTCTTTTCAATATTCTCTCTTGGGATTCCATACAACCACCTCCTCCTCCCATGTATATTAATAATGCTTACAATCTAGCAGCTGTCATATATGAAATATTCAAGGATGGGAGGTTGCGGTTGAAATAGCATGAATATTTAAGCACAATCAATATTATGAGTGGGCCAAAACTGGTCGTCATCTTTTCATCTATGGTGGGATGCAAGTTTCAGCCAATGGGATAGCACCACGAAGTATCTATCCATTTGAAACGAAAGAATATGAATTAATTTAAGACAGAATTTCTTTCTTTGTCTAATTGAATAACATTTTAACGTTTTATATCTGTAACCAATTCCTGCCCACGAAGTTAAGAACTAAATGCTCTGCCTACAGCTACTTAACTGCTTCACAAGGCCTGATCTACTGGGCAAGGTTAAAGATTAAACATAATCTCTCTTTTATTCTTCCTCTTCCATAAAACCACGACAACTCGTCTATATAATCCAATCAAAACTTCATTCAAGAGGGATTAACGATTAATACACTTGAAACGATTTAGATAAAATTGGGATTAGGACAGCTTAAGATGCATTTGCAGGGTAAAGGGATGTTTTCGCCTAAGGTTCGGCTTAACCAGCTGATAAAGTCCTCAGCTATCCATTTCACTTTTCAAAATCAAAATCTGACTTCCGGTTCCTCTTTAAAGGTTCGATTCTCGTCGCTTATCGAGCGTCATTTACATTTATATGCAATTAACAACGATCTTAAAGTGACCATAGTGTTAACTTCCACGGAAAGCTTTTGTAATATAATGTTAAATAGGAACGGAAGGCTAGGTTATAATTCTAAAAGGCACTACGGATAGCCGAAATTGCTTAATCAGTTGATCAAGGCCAGATTTTTAGGACAATATCCTTTAAAGTCATGTTTTGATTCTCAAAAAATGCCGTGGGTGGCCGCAATTCATTTCTAGCATAATGCAGTAAGTAGCATAAGTACACGATTATATTTCTTTTTAAGAATTGTACAATAAGAAACAGTTTCTGAAAGCGATTAAATCCTGGAATTACGAGACCACAAGTCCACGAAATGTTTTAGAATTATATTAGCTATTGAATATTGATACGTGGCAAGTAGGTGGAAACTCAATGGAAGTACTTCATTATAATTGGTGACAGATTTAAAAAAAAATATACGAAAAACTATCGATGAATGAATAAAAAAAAGTCATGCATAATATATATTTTTTTATAATTTTAGTCAATAAAGCCTACACGTTTATAAAAATCAATGTAAAATATATGATAGCAAAATGAGGAAAGGGTATTCGTTTCATTCACTTTGGTTTCTAGGGAGGGGGAGAGGGGGGGGGGGGGGGTGGAGGTGAGACTGTAATGTTGATTTTAACTGTAAATTTCTGTTAATGTAAATAATATTCCTTATAACCCACAGAGTCATGCAAAACATATTACACTTTTACTTGGGCATGGTATTCCGCTTAACAAAAGTGCTTGAAAATCTCAAATAAAACGAAAATCACTTGCTGAAACGATAAAAAAAATTCAAATATTATTTTTTAAACAAATAAATAAATAAAAATAAAATTGATCTTTTCACTAGTTTAGTACTTAATAACTATAGATCGATCAAAAAAATTTTCTCAAACTAAGTTATTGTGACGTCTTTTCAGGATAGGTTCAAAACAAACGATTTAATACGATATAATAACTTTCTATATTTAATAATGCTTTTTTAAGCCCAAAAATAAAGAATAAAATCTAACTACATGATGGATTGGAGGCGCAAAAGCTGCTTTAAAAATGCATGATGATATTTTGAGCATTCATTGATAATATAAGAGGCGGTGTAAAAAACTTCCTCAATTATTTTCTAATTTTAAAATTGACATCTAAAGAGGTAAATGGCATGAATTGTTAATGTATCTTTAAATATCACCTATTCCATAAACAAGTCCCTGTCAAAACCTTCAAAAAAACTAAATAGAAATTAAGTTAAAGGACAACGTTCGTACGTAGGCCTAATATGATTATGCTTCTAATTCTGAAATTAAAAATATTTTTCAGAAAATCATAACCTGGTCACATTTTTCAAACCTGATGGTACCTCTCTTCTGAGGAGTCCAGTACTATACAACTTTTATTCTCGATTTTGCCATTCATTGGACTAGATTTTGATTAACGGTTTTGTCTTGCTTGTACGAACTTTTATTCTAGAATCATCTCTGTTTTATCTTCTGTTCTGCACAGACCTTAATTACAATGAGACATAACAGTGCTAATTATAAACTCTCGAGCCACACCTGTAGCCTACATTCATCTATAACCGGAAGTGACGTGTCGGATACTGTAGGTGTTAGTTACTATTCTTAATAGAAAACTGTCATACCGGTCTGTTACTGTAAGAGGAAAAGCTACAAAACAGTTTGCGTGCACAATAGAGAAAAACAACAATAACCAAAATCCACTCTACCTTTTTACGTGTCAATTTCAATAAAACGAAAACAACAGCAACAACATTAGTTTGTGGTGTTGGACAAGACTAATTCCGCAGTCATTTCGTTGCTATCTATCTAGTATTTGCTTTAAATTGATTTAAAATATTTATTTATTTTTGTAGTAGGCAATATTCTTTCTGAATCGTTTTATCTACCTTGTTTTTAATTTATTGATTCAAATAAATCATTTCTTTCACTTTATGGTGGCTCGTGTATCTTATTCAGTTTTTCAATAAACATAAAATAGACATAAATATTGAATATCTATTGCTCTATTATATTATTTAAAAATACATTTCATTTATTGCTAGTTAGAAACCCACGAGGACAGGAAATATACAATTCATAAATCTCTTAAAACGAGAATATAAAGGTATTCCTAGTTATGAATATATTACCATATATGGATATAAATATTAATAAAAATCACTGTGTTTTTAATTTTATTTATTCATGGTAACAGGTAGACAGTTGATGCAATATACGAGAAACGATCCCTGACAGCTTCTCAGATGGATGATCTTTCTGAAACATGAATCTGAAAATATGCTACTTGTGTTGACATGAATTCTTAATCAATACGGATTTGCCTCATCAATGGATGATTGACCTTGAAACAGTTCGATAAGAGGGACCCAAGTCGGCCATTCTAAAAGCACGTGTTAGGATTTTCACCTTAACGACTTCTAGCAACTAACAGCAACTAAGAGAATCTGATAAATCGTAGTACGATCTGAGCACCCTGACGATATATTTAGTTGCCGCTTACTATCAATTGTTTTCATGTTGAAAAACTTGGAATTTGTATAATATCTAGCTCGGAATATATAACCATCCGTATGATTGATATGAGCGTGTCTCTCCTGTAGACTGCAATGGATCCCATACATCAGGTATTTTTGATCTACGACCAAAACCTACGATTATGTAATCGCATTGGTTAGTCATTTTCCGATATTAGAGAATCGATTAATGATATGATTTCAATCTTAATAAGAATCGAAGTTGTTCATTAAGTTTTTGATACGAGCGTTTCGATTCATAAAATTATTTCAAATGCATTTTCACAGTAGGTTACAAAGGTGTACGGCGTAAATCTCTATTTCATTATATTAATTAAATGACAAGATATGGGTAAAGAAACTATAATCATGTGGTCTACAGATCAATGGGAGATGATAATTGATAAAAACATGTTTTATATTTTGATTGATTGCCTCACTTCATCTCATTCATAAAACCCAAGTCGACAATTTAATTACCATGACTTTCACGTGACCTTTTCCATTCATTACCAATTTTGGTATCGGATGAATATTTTTAAACACTTTAGTTTTCATGAGCTGCGATGATAACTTGTTAATTTGATAAAAAATGATAGAGCAGCTGGTCTTTGAAAAAGATCGCGTTCAATTACCCCTTTACATCAGCAATCTAATAAAATTATCACAATTTTTCAAAAGGAACTATTTTCTATGATGCGCAAAAAGACGCCACGATAAAACCGCAAATTAGTGATGTTCTTGTTTCTGATTGGTTGAGAAATAACAACAAACAAAGATAGGGGTTAAAGGTTAACATTGACAGGCAGGATACGGGATTGTGAATGAATAGACGGCGCGTGCTACAATCGATCGTACGGCGAGTAGAAATAGGTCGATTATCTCTGGCCGAGTAGTAGTGGTGGAGAGGTCTCGCGTTCTTCCTTCATTAGTTCTAACATAGCAGATCAACATGGAACCGTTATTCATATCTCCTCTTGGATTGGAAAAAATTCTGGAAACTGAAACAGCTTTAGTTCAACTCGTAGATTGTAGATCATTTATTCACTTTAACAGAAGTCGAATTTTAACATCCGTGAACGTGTTCTGTACACCATTGGTGAAAAAACGGAATCCGAGATGTCTTCCATTAGATGTTATTATGTCCAAAGAAGCAAAGTGTTGTTTATCCAGACCGAATTTAACCACTGTGATATTGTATGATCAGGATTCCGACCAGTTAACCGCGTCGAATGGAAGCACAGACTTAAATCTTATGTATAAAAGTATGGTTCGATATTTTGGAAATAAGAAAATTCTGATCTTAACAGGTTTGTGGCATTTTATTTATAGATTTTTAATATAACAGGTCTCTATAATCATTTTAACGTCTCAAAGTGCCTTTGCTGGCAAAATATGATTTGCATATTTTAATACCTTATTTTGCTAATCACGACTGCCAGGATCGAATCTGTCAACTCAACATCCCTTTTGGAGAGTTTACATAACTTAATTATATTTTCTGATACATTTATTGGCAGAAGTAATATTTATAAAACAGAATATAAGATCTGTCCAAATAAACGCTTATTGCCAAATAATACATACGCATGCATTTGATTTAAATAGAATTCAAACAATATTTTTACATCAATTGCCAACAAATGGAAATTGATTTTGGCAGTTGGCCCTACTTTTTGGGCCTTCGGCTGCATTCGATATAGCTCACTTCAATCACATCTCCTTTAAAGGAGACTAAAGTATTTAAAAAAAAAGATTTTACACTGTAAAATATTCCGCAATATCTTGGTATTGCCCCATATTCTGACCAACAAAATACGGCAATGTACTCCTATACGATTGTGTTTGTTCTTTGTAGTGTCTTAATATCGGTCAATTTCCTCATTGATTGTTCCTGTGGTCAAATAGGACCAGGGGGTAGCCTAACATCCATCCAATCGACCCTTTGTCAAATATAATTCACCTTAATTCATTCAACCATCCGGTTTATTTGTTTTGGCTTGAACAAGTCGGTCAATGGCCCATTTTGACCAGTATTTGTTCTTGTGGTCAATAGAAAAAATATCAACATAACTTATCGTTGTTTGACCATAAAACTAGACGTATAGTTCACAAGCTCGTGTTCATCAGAAATCTCATAAACCACAAATTTTGCCTCCAGTCAAATATCTTCCTTTTCTTTCCCCAATTACCACCAAATTTTTCTTCATACATCATTATTTGCCTCCAGGCTGCGTTTTCTTATTCATAATTGCTAGGATCTACAAGCGGAAGGGCTGGTTTATTAGTTAGATATGATGAGAAATTGGAAGCTAGTTTTTTTTTCGCACTGAATGCCGCTCAATTTCTTTATGATATATTGAATATTTTTTAAACCGAAAGATATGGTCTATATTAGTTCGTTTCCGCTTGACACTGTTCACAAAACCTGAAGGTGCTTCAATCGGAAACGTAAATAACGTCAAAGGTTCAATCCTTACATATTACCTATTTTTAAATTTTCTACATCTTTTCGCCCCTCCCCCCTTTTTTATATCCTATGGGTCAGTTGAACAAAAACCAGGGCCGTTTCAAATTTTAAACCAAAGATACGATCGAGATACCAATCAAATAACTCGAACTTTAAGTTAATTTTTAGCCTCGCTGATAATTTAATAACAGATATGATGGTATGATAACAAAATATCTAAATATTCATACTAAAAGTATTTGCGTCGGACCCGTGGTTGTAGCATTGGGTAACAGGTATGTGGCTATGTAACCCCTCATCAGGATGGTATTAATATACTGATTGATAAATTCATAATCGGGATTGTTATAATCGTTTAAACTCATTGAGAACCGATTGGGAGAAACTTTATCTATATATATATTTAAGGTGCAGAAAAGGAAGACGTAAAACTCTTCAATTTACTTCAGTTGAAAAAAAAGATAATTTGGAATGTTAACAAATATTTCGACATGTTACATTTTATACATAGTAATAATAATAGTAATAGTATTAAAATTCGGCAAATCGACAAATATCATATTTGAGGGTTGTTAGAAAAACGATAAAATTCCACATTTTGAAAGAGATTAGAACTTGTTATAAATATAGCTTGTAGTATCAGTCTCCCACGTTAACTATACAGAATAGATAAAGTCTACTATTTACGTAGGTATAGATAGATACTAAGTACTGGTTATAACTCTATACATACTGATATACACCTACACGAATATTTCAACTATTTTATTTTTACGTTTCATCTGTCAAGCTTTTAAACAATATTTCATCCGCTTGATATGGTTTTTAATAATAATATCAATTGAAAGAGTTTTATGTGGACTTTCCTGAAAGGGGGGATATAGGGATGCCCATTTGACGAACACAATCAGACGGGGCTTTGTGTGGAAGGGAGAGAATTCAATTTTCAATTTTAGAAGGCTTTCAATTCAGGATATTTTCCTTTTCCGGACGTTAAGATTTAGGAATGCTTATCCTTAAGGAACACGTATCTACTCTACTCGTCGTGATTCGACATTCTTGTACCGTATGTTTTCAAGGATGCATACAAAAATGCGAACATCAATAATTAGGGAGTGTTAAGGATGGTGGGGGTTATTTTAATTAGTTTCATCGACTTGAAAATTATGTGGGATTTCTTATTTAAAAAATTACTTGGCAAATACCACGATCAATTTAAAATCTTTTTTCACTAAACTAATATTGTGAAATATACTTTGAATATGCAGTGATATGATTAGAGAATATTTTTTATTATTAGAATAAATGACGCTAAATTGTTGGACATTACCTGACAATGAGGCAAAAAAAAATCCGCGAAAAATTCCATTTAATTCTTAATATATAACAAATGACATACGCCCGTCCTCTGTGACCGTACACGCATGTGCCACGTCTGTAAGAATATTTAGAGGACTGTGCCCCTTTCATTATAGATTAATATTTTATAATAATACAGTAAAATATAATAGTATACATCAAATTTATATAATGTATAGAATTATTGATTGAAAATGATGTTAAAGATGGAGATTCTACACTCCAATCCTGGCAGACGTGACAATAGAGTTATATATGTATCAAGGTAGATGGCCTACTCCTTCCAGTCATATCGACTCGAAATACAATATCTAGATAAATTATAACTTATATTCAGTACAATTACAGTCTTTTTATTATAATCACTGGTCAAATTTATAAGGCATCTTTGAATTTCAACATAATGAAGAGGTTGCGTACAATTGTTTTATTCTTAAACAAAATCCGATGAAACAATTGAGTGTTTTTTTAGTTTCAGAATTTGCAAATGAAATGTTAAATTGTGTACTCAAATAAACCCACCGAATTAGTATCTTGGACGTACAGAGAGCTGAAAATATTGCTGACAAAACTGGAATTTCAATTGACGGTATTTTCACGCGGTTGGCTTCTGATTAACAATGTTATTATTTGGTGCACATGAATGTAAAATGTTTAAAAAATATATCAGTTAATAACTCAGAATAATTCACATATTTTAAATCGACTATCAATTACAGCAGGCTAATGAATATATTATTCTATATATTATTATACAGTTTCATAGATACCTATAATGTACTACACAATGAAATAATGAAGTTATCTATTGTACTGAACAGCTGTTATAGATCTTAGTCGTAGTCTATCCCTTCTGTCAATTTCTGAATTTTCTCACGTAAAATCTCTATATCGAATAAATTCTCGATCTCGATCGAGCACACTTTACACAACGTATGTTCTTATATCAGATGTACAAAAGTCATTGCTTTAAGAACTCTTTTCGCCAGGGTTAAGATCTATGCTATAGGTGTGCCTTTTTTGATGCAAACCTTACGTTGCAGCATATGAAATGGACCCCGGATTGTTGTCTAGTTTCAAGTCCCATCGAACACCATGTGAAAACAGGACCGGCAGAACAACAACCATCTAAAAGTCACATAGTAAGCAAACAAGAAAAGAAAACAACGGGTTTGAAAGATAAAAGAAACCGTTGATGACAGGTATCAACAAGATATAAAGCCGCTTTGAAGATACCGACTCTCTACGATAATCCCATGGATTGAAAAACAACCGGATTATCGTTAATCCACTAGTCTGGGAATCTGACCTAGACAGGAAACACTTCCTGAGAAAAAACGATAGAAAGCCCAATCTTCCTTCCGGTGTTGGGTATGTTTCCGGTAACAGTATCTGATCTCTTGACCTTCACCTCACGTGAAGAGCACGCGAACGGAAATGACTTGTAAAACCACTCGACAAGAAAATTAAACAATACACTGTGTTTGTAATGTTTAGAAATCTGCACTTCAAGATCGTATTCAATTTCTACTACAAATTAAGTTTCTTTTAAATATTGTGTCTATACCCGCTTCCTCTACTGTTCAGCCAAATTTCTATGAGGCGAGACCATACTAAAATTATACAAAAATAGGACTCAGTAAACGCACGACATTTGACCATATAGAGGGAAAAAAACAAATGATCCGGGGCAAAATTGCTCCATGTTACACTTCCTTTCGTGTTAAAAAAAAATTTGGTTTAAATTCCTGTTATTTTCCATCGCCATTGGAAACATTTCGGTGTATGGCTTCCAACTATCTCTTAAGATTTTACAGATTAACAACGTCCGGCATGCAGCTTCCGTTTTTCATTTGAATTGCTACTATTTTCTCTTGACATTGAATGACTTTTAACTACTATTTTAGATTTTAAAACAGATAACAACGATCTAATAACACTCTTTCCTTGTATCTTTCAGGTGGATTCACGAGATTTAAACAAGAATGTCCAGACCTGTGCACACCTCATCCGTCTCCTTTGGGAAGTCTATCACACACCTCTAATCTCGGAGGGTTAACTTTAAAACTGTGTCGAAGTCTCCCAGATAATTTCAATGACAGACAAGTAAAAAGAGCTAGAATGACGGTAAGTGTCCTCATTAAATCATACTTGGTTGAGTGTCCGAAATGTGCGCGATGCAATTAAATTTAGCAATCTGAGTATATGGCTTGGATTCCTACCGATATTGTTTGTGTTTGAACTTAGATCACCCGTAGGAATGCGGTTTCTTACAGCTTACAGCTGTAAAAGGTTTTCAGAACAGATAGAATACCTTTCTGGACTAAGCGCAATAAACCTAATATATATGAACATATTTGATATATCAGTAATCAGTCCAATTACCTTTAGATATAGTCCGAAAAAAGACGCTCGTACTATCAAATTGGCTCAATCAAAATATAAAAATCAAGGTTATTCTTTTTGCTCTTACAATGATTCTTGAGCATTGATCTCTGAGCAATCTGATTTGTTGTGGCAACTATCTAATGAACCAATCAGCGTTCGTGATATTTTCTTCCTGATACACCAAATGTTTCACAATCGCAACTCTGGAGTCTGTTCGACGTGTCCTGACTATTAGTTCGGACTCTTTCGGGCTCATTTTAAATGACAAAGATCGTGTTCAAAGCCTTTATGTTTGATACTACAATCACGATATTGATCCTTTTGTCCCTGGGGCTTAAAGTTGTTTATTTATTTTTGGACAAGTTTACCTTAGTTACCTAGTGTTGTCAACATTAAAGTTGCAGTATGCACAATTTTCATTATTAAAAACGTTGAAAATTTTACGTGAAAAGATTTCCCAAATAATATACTATTTTCTTCTATGTATCTACTTGGTCAACTTGAAATCTTTTTTAAATGGGTGATTAAAATCAGAGTGGACTAATTGTTAAGCTAGCAGTTTAAACTAATTTTGGTGTTAGACCTTTTACTAATATTGTTTTGCATTATCATTAAACAATCATGTTAAAGTACTATTTTGAATTTTGATAACACCAATAGTTATCCAGTGTTGCCGGCATAAACTATTAGCCATAAATATGATTAAACTGTTGTTACTAGTTTAAAAAAAATCCTATGCCAATAACCTCCATGAGAGATAATGGCCATTGTTTATTGAAAATCGATCCGGTTTTTCATTAAAGTTAAATATAGTGCTGATAGAACATTACACTATAAACTAGTTAGAAAGAATTTACATTATACTTTATATATCATACTTCTACTTCTCATGCGTTTTAATCATGCATATATCATTATCACTTGAAAGTTCAGCCATTGCGATAAGAATACAGATCTGATAAGATTGTTCATGTTAGGTCTGACTTAGGTTCACCTTTGACCTTATTATGTCATTAATTATTTAACCTATCAAATTAAAGTCATTGTCCGAAACTGAACTCTCTGTCATTCCCATGTAACAATAAGTATTAGGATAGGTTCCGTTTAAAGGGAACGTTCCTTCTTGTCATGCTTTTAAACTAAGTAAGACGCGGACGTAAGAGAAGACACGAAATTGAGGCTAATGCTCAATCATCAGAACCACTCTCTCAGAGACAGAGTTATCGGATCTTGCAGTATCTAAAGGGTAAAGGAACCGCAAGGACCGACAACTGTGTATGAGAGAATGCCACAGAACACGACCACCTTTAATTTGTTTAGTTGAATTCGTACTCCAAGGATTTCTCATTTTCATAATTGAATTTCATTTCACACGTCACATTAAACAAAATCGCCTCATCAACAGACATTTTGAAAGTATTTTTAAATCGATGACATGTCGACAGGCGTTTCGTAATGAATTTCACATTTTGTTTTTATTTAGAGTAAAAACATTCATCATCATCTTTTTCTTTCATTCGACACTCTCATTTCTCTTGTTACATGTGTACAAGCTGTCGACTGTAAATGGAGGTGTATACGGGCTGACAAGATGTGACTATCGTAAAAAAATTTCTAATTAAAGGGGGGGGGGGGGGGAGGTGTGTACCCACTTTATAAAAAAAAGTACGGTCTCCATTTAGCCAGTAATATCTTACTTTGTATTAAATAAGCCAACACAATTCTATGGTTTACTACTCCTTAGTTTTATTGTACACAATGTTTCAACAAATCTACATCGTCATCAGCCCGTTATTTAATGTGATCTCTACCCGTAAATGTCGCTTAAAGGATTAATTTGTATTAATATTGTGAAATGATTGTGGTCTTTGTATTAAATAAATGTCATCAGAAGGAGTAAGGCATGCTGTGGGAATCCAATTTTCAAAACTTTATAAAAGATTTTGAAAATGTTGTTTCACCATAACATTCAGTTTGAACTTTGCTTTTAGACTATAATATAGATATGTAAAAATACACTATTTAAATCGGAGCATACGCGTACTTTAAGTTATTGTAAGAGATGATATTTCTGTTAATTTTAAAAACTTTGAATATTAGATTGTTATTACCCGAGTTAAAGTGGTCAACTGTCAATAGATCGGAAAGAGTTTTACTATTACTGGAAATTTTGTCCATTTAAACACGGAAAGGTGATGAGTCGGTACACTTTCGAATATCCGTTTCCGGGCAGATGTCAGGATTTCTTTCAAACAATACTGACGTTTACATGCGTATACATACATTGTTGCACGTGGAAAACTTTACGCATTTCATATTTTCTCACCCTGAAGGGTTCATAAATTGGGAGAACACAATGCACTGTAGGGGGGATTGAATCGATGAAGCAACGACAAAGCGTTGCTATTCTGCTTCCAATTACATAAAAAGTTTCAAACCGATAGACTAGACGTTTCTCTTATACAATTCTTCCAGACCTGCTTGTCTGACAAGTTGAAGCCGAGTTTGATAGATAGGCCAAGGACCGGATTTAATCGAACCTACTGATCGTGATATCACTAAGGAAAAGAGAAATACTCTGGTTTATTTTATTGATTGGTTAGAAGGTGTGTTTTTGTAGTAGTTTATTTGTGTACTGGTATTGACAACTTGGTCGGATTTGTTTGTTTTTGAGTAGAAGAGAGCAAGTGTTTACTTATTTTATCAATTTTGACTCGAATTTAAACAGAAATTGGTGAACAGAAACACATGATCTAACCACAATCTGGGTCAAATGAGGAAAAATAAACAACTTTTAACCTCTTATTGACCGCAATGTCTTTATATTATTTTTACAAAATGTTGTTTGGTTTTATTATGCTATTATATAACATCACATTGTGACATATTAAAAATATTCCTTAAAAATATTATTATCGATCACAAGAAGCATTTGGTTTAATGCCATGGCATGGTTTTGACATTTAAACACCTGATGTCACTCTGTTTGTAGAATCGTCGATTCTCTCTTTCAAACTACGGGTATCACACCCTACTCCCAACATCTTACGATGAATATTCCATGTATCAGGATATGAATGAACTATTATCATTATTTCGTTTCATTATACGGACATAGAGATCATACCTGTAACGGTTTAAAATTTTATAACGCCTTCAGCAATTCTAACTGTAACTATGTAACAAGCTGTGGTCAATGAATCAGTGATCACAGCTTTTAACCGATCCTTAATACACAGTTTGAAAGTTGTAGTAGGATATCATAAAGCCACGTGTTTCAGTTACTAATCTATAATACCAAGGTGAGGTTTTCATTTCAAATATGTTTCCATGTTTACGTGAAATCTCACCTACGCTTTAGTAGGGAACGTGCATCTACGGAAGTTGATTGCATCTCAAATACTTGTGGTCATTTCCGGCTATTTCCGTTCGATTGTCGTTCTGTCTCCAACCCTATAAGGTTTTCATCTTTAGTGTCAAAATGTGTCACAGTTTTCACCATAGCTCTCACCTAAGCTCAGTGGATCATGATAAATACAATGCATTTTTTATATTTACACTGCTCATCAACTTCAAATAAGTGTCGTCATTTCCGGCTTTGTTCGATTTGCTTCCTTCCCATTAAAACCATTTACACAGTAAACAAACTTGTTACAAATAATGGTAGCGTTCAATCAATGATTTATAGGACCTATATTTAATCTTCATCAATATAAATGAATGAACATTATTACTTATCCTATCCCAGTTGACTGTTCAAATCTAACGTAATCGAATACAGCCGAACCTTATATCCTCCTCTTTAATGTTACAAATTTTTACACCTCCGAGTTTGCCGTGGGAAGTTGTAGCATATTTGACTCTTCTAATAATGAACGACGTTGGTAGTGGTTTTTCAAAGGCCAGTTTCACGTTTTACACGTTCGAGAATGTTCGTCAGTCACCTATAACATAAGCGTAGGAAGAAAACAAAAGTATCTTGCTCATAATGCTTGCTGTAGGAAGTTGAAGCATACTGGACACCACTGCATGATGATAGACGACGCTGGTGATGGTTTTGTGATGGCTGGTTTCTGGATTTTTACACTGTCGAGATTGAGTGGCCGCCATGCACGACATACGCGTAGGAAGATGTTTTAAATTAAAGCATCCGAATGCATCAATATTAACGTGCTGTAGGAAGACAAGACGTACTTGACAGATGTTGTTGATGGATTGTGTGAGGGCTGTATCAGTATTCAAATAATGTAAGGTTCATTTCGCCAACTGATGTTTCCGTTGTTTTCTGACTTGCGTTTTAATGATTACAAGTAACGTTTGGCAATCGACTGACAGGTTTCGTAATGTGCCGGGTGTGTGCTTCACTAACTTGATGGTGAATTGTCAACTCAGCTTTTCCATATTGTTGAATATGAACTATGCAAGATACATTGTTAAGGGGGCAAAGACCAGACCAGGGTACGGGGGGTTTTTACGCATAATTTCTCATTAGAAAGTTGAAGATGAAGATGAGTAAAACACAAAATTTTATTTCTCATTTTTCAAGTAGGAGTTTATCGGTTTTGGTTACAAATCAGTTTCAAATTTCACAATAAACAACACAAGAGACGGCAAGACATTTATTGGGAAGGTCATTGACTTTATCACATGCCTGTCACCCATTGACTAAATGTTAGATGTAACACGGCCTTGGACAACCTTGAACGTCAGGCGCTGAGTCCGGTATATCACTTAATACAGACCTAAATCGTGTTCGTGTTCGGTTATTACGTGTAAAAGTCCAGTATAGCAGTCAATACAGACCTAAATCTGAAATATTCTGTTAACACGTGTAAAAGTCCTGTGTACCAGTCTATACTGACCTCGATTTGAAATGTTCGGTAATCACGTGTTAGAGAGTAGTTAATTCCATGACTTTTATAATAATGAGTACATTTGTCCAGACTATTTTTTTTATGAAATATATAGTCTCCAAGTTATACCTTGTATAGAATTTCACTTCTGTTTTAATTTTTCATGTACATTTCTCACTTTATTGAAGAGTTTCACTTTTTCCTGGGGATTACTTGTCTCTTTAAATGTTGATTTTTAAGATAAAAGAATTTCAATGTTTCAATTGATCAATGAAAAAGTTTCGATGTTTCAGTGAAAAAGTTCACATTTCCATGTTGTCAGTTCGATTATACAAAGTTTGTGATGAAGTGTGCTAAAGGTCAGTTTTCCATGAAAATGTGATTTCATCATAATATGAATAATACATCAATTTAGTTAATCATTTTGTAATCGGAAAATCAATTCCTCAAGGAATAATGCCAGTTGTTAGGATGATTATAAACAAAACAACTCCATTGCCTTAAACCTGTGTCATTCTTCTCTTTCATTGATTTGAATATAAATATTTAAACATCCTTGACAAGCCTAGTTCAATCCCTCTTTCTACCATTATCTGTTTTCTATTGTTTTATATATCTTGATAATCTATTGTCTCAATCCGTCTTCTCTCGAATGAATGTACATTGAATTTGCACTCTGAGATGCCGTTAACAAGTACATTAGAGCAATTTCCATTGAAAAATGAAGATATAAATGCTCTTCAATACCCACGTAATCTTTCTGGGGCCAGGGGGGTTTTGGAATTATCCACATAAGTTTGTTTGAATGTACTTTTTGTAAGTTCACCGAAAAGATCTCGTCATTTATTTTGAAATCTGGTATGGATTACTTAGTAGATTTAAATATTCTTGTGTGGTCTAACAGTCTTGACGTGGAAACAAAACTCTTGAGTTCCACAAAATCGTGATGAAACACTAGTCGTTTTAGTTTTAGTAATATATCAGTGTTCTCGAAGGTCCACAATTGTACACTGTATGTTCTTGCTCTTTCGATTAGCTTCTTCTTCCCATGCTGCCACAGCCATTTAGATACTCCATTTCTACCCAGTGGTATTGCTTGTCAATTTACATTGTAAACGGCCAGACCGAGACAGTAGTATGTAGGTATTCGACTAATTTCCCGACTGAACTTGTATTTTTATTAATGTGAACAAGGTGTTGGACTTATATATTGAAGGGACATATAATGTTTTTTTTTTAAATACAAATATAAAATGGTGACATTGAGACCAAGTGGGTGGCAGGAACGATTGTTGAAGGTACCTTGTGACAGCTCGAAAGTTCCCTGAAAGCATTAGTGGTAATACCTCATGATCTGTTCCCTAATCCTCCATTGTGTTTAATACAAGATTTCAGGTTCATTTCAGTGTAAAACATTGAACTTGGTTATCATGACAAAGAAGGAATTTTACTCAAAATAAAATCATATATGTATAGACAGAATGCTTTTCTACGGCTTTTATTTTTTCATTGGAAAGTTAATAAATACCACTGTTTTATTAAGAAATCTGGAAAACAAAGTCATAATATTATCAAATTACATAAACAAGAGAATCTAGTGGTTAACACCTGTTTGTTTTGAACTTAAAATAGTATCCAGTAATTACCTTGCGGAAGAATTATAAGGTATTCTCAGATATATTGGTCTGTAATTTTAGTAACGGGATGATACAGCTGTGAAATATAAATAGATATATAAATTAGTAAATAATAAGTCAATAAATAATTCGATAAGTAAGTCAAGATAGAAACAAATATAAAAGTCAATATAGTTAAATTGGTTATAAAAAACAAAAACAAAACAAAAACAAAGTAGCAACTGCTGTTCCCTTTCGAAAAGCGAAAAGAGTAGATTGTATATTGAATCTTAAAGCAATAGTATTTTACTCAAAATAATGGGAAATCCTTGTATAGTCGAAAACAACAGTGTTGAACACAAACTCAAAGACCACTTCTTTTCTATTTTCAGACGCAGCCAGTTGAATTGATGCCTTATCTCTTTCTTGGAGACGCTTTACACTCAACGATGAAAGATCAACTTCTCGATCTTGGTATAACCGCCATTTTGAATGTCTCTACTTCCTGTGCAAACCATTTTCCCCAGGACTTCCGGTATAAGATTATTCCAGTAGAGGACACTGCCAGTGCAGATCTGCACTTCTGGTTCAAAGACGCCATTCAATTCATAGGTAATTCTACTATTCTGATGTTAATTATTGCATTTTTTTTTAAGTGAAATTAAAGCGAAATAATTATCTACGTAACTCGGTGAAGACACTCTAACATAACTGACAGAAAACAGGTTTTGATTGTGTTTCTGGACAAAGGAGCACTTGTTATTTATTTTTTAAATTGTTTGTGACAATCGACTCGAGTATAAATGGACAGAAATAAAAACTATTGCTTCAGTTGTTGGACACGGAAGCTCTTGTACATCAATTGTTATTTACTTGTTTGTTCTATTTTCTATTTGTAGAAGAAGAAAAGAAAGATGGCGGAAAGATTCTGGTTCATTGTAAAGGAGGTGTTAGCCGATCGGCTACCGTCTGTCTTGCCTATATCATGTACACCCGATGTGTAGGACTTGAAGACGCTTTTGACTTTATCAAATCACGTCGTGACAGCATCTCACCCAATGCGAATTTCATGATGCAGCTTTACGACTACGAGAAATTGGTTGTGTCTCATTCCAGTTCATCCCCCTTATCTCCTTGTAGACTTTATAACCCAGTCTTATCTAGTTCATCAGATAGCAATAGTTCTTCTCGCGAGAGTAGTGACGACAACGAGAACGGAAGTGACATCGAATTATCTAGTGTTCCAGCACTGAGAATTATGGGCAAAAAGTGTGTTTCCACTTGAAGAGTTGTGAGTTGATAGAAGTACTGGTATAATACAGACTAATTTCCTAGTAGACTAGAATGACCAGTACAATATTAACATTATGCAGTATAGGGCAAACGGTTATTATGTGAATTAGGATTACTAGAGATGATATCAATGTGGTATGAATGTGAATTAGTGTGAATCAGCTTAAACCATGGACCCATTATAGTCATTGCATATCGCAATAGAAACACCTGGCATTACTTAGCTGAAGGTCGAAAACCGAAGGCCTATTTCACAATTTGTTAACCTAAGCATCTTTTCATCTGATTGGTCAGTCACTAAATCCAATCAGACTTCTTAAGATATTTAAATCTTTCATCTTAGGTAAAATCTTGTGAAATATATCACCAATAGAACAACCGTACATTGTTTGTCTTTAGATTTTTCCTTTTGCAAATAGTTTTGAAACTTTTATGGGTGTCTCCCTGTAAATCCCATAATTTATATGGTAAACATTTTTGGTAAAATTCCACATTCAGACAAGAAGGTTTTTTCCTCTAACTTCAAACTTCTGATTTCACAGTCACCGTAATTAATTTACATTCTTAATTTAGTGACCTTTGCCTGACTTGTTTTCATAAACATGTTCTATCGATCTGTTCTTGATTATATTGTTAATTAAAATATCGAATTTATCAAAACAAAGTAATTATTCATACTATTGAAACCTATCTCGTTATTCTATTAAGTAAATACGGTAATTAAATCGTACATATTCTATCTCGATTTAGATTCCTATTATGTAATAAAACGAAAATTTAAAATTGAGGAAGAAACAAACAAGGATATTTTGCAATGATGAAAACTTGAGAGCTTGTCTATCAGCTCGTCCTTGGCCAAGTCTCTTGGCTTGACGGTTTAACAGTTGGTTCCCCGACATTAATAAAACCGTACTTCGCATAGACACAGACAATGAGAGAGTGCAGTAGTAAGAGTGTGCCATAGGATTTATATGTTTTGTTAACTTTGTTATTGTCATATTTGTATGAAAGTTGTTATATCTTTTATAACATACAGTCGAATTTTGTATTTCTACTGCGTTTGAAGAACGATATATGTAGGAGCATAGTCTGATTTATTCGTTATGAAATGCTTCTACACTGGCAACAGTTTGGATATTATGATTAAATGGTTTTTTCTTTTTATATAAGGACAAGGACAAAGGCGCGTACGTAAATGTAGTGTGGCATTATCTGGAACACAATGCAGATGGACCAATTACGACCATGTCCACATAACTTAATTCATTTCACCTATATAAATAATTGCAACATATCTCCTTACTGTGTCATTCCCTACTTTATACAAAACACTATAATTGGCATTGTCTCTATAGAATTTGGACTGGATAATAGTGAAATTACATTAATAACTAACTTATGTTTCTTTATTAAATATCGATATCGGACAAAGGCGCGTACGTAAATGTAGTGTGGCATTATCTGGAACACAATGCAGATGGACCAATTACGACCATGTCCACATAACTTAATTCATTTCACCTATATAAATAATTGCAACATATCTCCTTACTGTGTCATTTCCTACTTTATACAAAACACTATAATTGGCATTGTCTCTATAGAATTTAGACTGGATAATAGTGAAATTACATTGACTGGATAATAGTGAAATTACATTAATAACTAACTTATGTTTCTGTATTAAATATCGATATTATAATAATCAAATGTCATTTTCCTCAAATTGGTATGATCAAAATTGCTCAAATATTGCGAAATACCGCCAGACTAATTCTATTGAGAAACTTTACCAATAATTGAATCTTGTTGAATATGATAGATGATCCACTTCCGGTAAACTGTAGTCAAGATATTCCATATCCGGTTTTAAGTGTAGTCTTTAACATCAAGTACTTTAATTACTCTACTTTCAGTTTGCCATCATATGACATCGGAATTGATCTTGCGTGATTAACATTTTCAGATAGACAATTCTGAAGGCAGGATAGAGTGAATGTCATAGTTTGATGATGAACTGTCCCACACAAAATAATTATGTTTACCTCTAAAGAAATGTATGACTGCAGTGTGTTGATTTTCTGAGGTAAAGATGACAACAATGTAAATTATCGAAACGTTTTGTTATAATCACATTTAAGACGTTATAAAGTTACACATACCATTAAAATGTTGTTATCTAACAGAATTAAAAGAATGCATGTATTAATAAAGCCAGTAATCTAATGTAAATTGTCGAAACGTTGTGTATAAATACATTATAGAAGTGCTACTAGTGACAGTATAAAATGACAGAATTAAAGAAGTATTTAGGCAATAATGTTAATCGTCGAAACGTTGTGTATAAGTAGAAGTGACGGTATGAAAGTACAGACTGGATGATGTGTAATATTAATGTATGTTTGTATAGTTTTATTTATTTTTTACTGTTGTGTTAAATTGTACAACAACTTCAGGGACTTGTTGAATAATTGTTGAAATATTGTAACCTTTAAAACAGTTTCCATGGCAACTATTTCATATTTTGTTAATTCCATGTGATGTAATAAAGGTTGAAATATAATAATTCTCTTTGTTGTAATTAGTATCGTATATTGCCTCAAGCGGAAGACCTGGTAGGACTATTGCTTTAAAGCTGAGATCGTCCTTGAAAGTTTCTGGAAGTGTACTTCTCACTAGATATTTGCAATCACTATACTGTTCATAAACTTACAGAATATCTTCATTGTTGTTGTTTTTTGAGAAACAACCGGATACTAAGCTCATCGTATTGAAATTATTAAAATTGAGGTTTCGTTTGTGCAGGTGACCAAAACGGGAATATCACGTTGGACACCAAAACAATGCTGACACGAATCAACTGAAGATTCATGGTGTCACAAACAATCCTTGGATCGACCGCTTAACCAAACCACCCATCGATTCAATTCCCCCAAAACACACCAGAATGTTGCTGTTATATACCTATATTTGCTATTAGAATAATACGTGCACCATGCGGGCTAATGAAGAAGATCAACGCCATGCAGGGTGCAATGAGGGAAATTTTGCCAGTTCTGCTCTTTTTCGATTTCCAACTGCCGAGGGATCTTTGTCGTGCACAGTCTGTAGCATACTGGGTAATAACATTGTGGATTTGTGGATCAAATATACTGTTGAGCGAACATACCCAAGGCAAACATGAACAATGACGAGCGTGTTGTAGGGTGAACGGCCTCCAATTCTCCACGATGTGTACTTCTTCTGATGTTTAAAATATGACTAATTATAATAAAGGTTAAACCCAGCTATGGAAAATGTCAGGGGTACAGTGATCGGAGATTAGAATCTTGTTATTGTTCTTTAGTCTCCTTGAAAATATCTCCAGCAGTTTGCCTCATTATCTAATTGATCCGACTGGAGGAAATATGTCTACCACAACATCATTTGTTTTACTCTGAATATTAACAGCAATGTGCTAAACTCGAACTTGCTACGAAACGTACAGCTGTTGCACTATGATTTAACATTACCAATAATCGCTACGCTCGTATGCTGTAAAACCAATAGATAATGAAAACAGAAAGCACGATGCAGTGTGTCATGAGGGAAATTTTACCAGAACAGTAGCCTTCTATTTGTCGATTTGAATTAGTTCAACAAATGATGCTTCTATTGAGAATTCCTAATTCTAACACAGGTTGGTTCAATCATCTTATTACTATTTTTACTTATTATTATTAGAATATTACCAAAGCTATGATTTCTATTAAACAAAGAAGGCTGACAACTACAAAAAGCTACGAAGTGGGGAAGAACAGATAGTATAGCCGTCGCGGTACTAGGACTCATATTTATATTATATTCGATTGAGTGTAAAAATCTCGCAAAATTCCTCCACAAAACCTTTTAAAATTTGGACAGAAAGAAAGTGTCGAACAAAAGAAGATGCATGAAAGACTTAATGAACATGACAACTCGCCATTATTCTTGTCTACGGTATTATAACATTACTAGAACGTGGGCGAAGCAAGATAGACAATGATAAACCTATTCCAACCATTTCAAACAAAAAAGCTTTGAAGAACGTAACTGTACTTGGGTGGAAGTAATTTGTCACTAAGTACTTTGTTTGAGCAGCAATTTCTATGTTAATGAGAATATAACGAAATAAAATTAAACGTCCTGCCTTTCTGTATATAACGAATTTAAACGTGTTTTATACTGCCGGCCTATCAAAACGATTTGCCCATATGCCCCACCCCTAAAATGTGTAAAGGTGCCATGAGAGTTGCTTAATTATGACCCTAATTCTTATCCGCAACGATGCTACCCCTGCCGAAATGCAATCATTGACTTCTACTTCTTCGCAGAGATACATTCCCGTATTTATCTTCATCTGTTCATCTGTTCATCTGTGAATTCAGCAGGTCCACAGCCAGACTTGATTGTTCTGGGGGAGGGGCAGATAATATATCCAGAGAGGCAGTGGGGTATGGTGTTTAGTTGCAGTAATGGAATTGGTCGGTTACCGGCACGAAATTCAGCTTCCCTCACGACAGTTGGACGTATTATTTTCGCTATGCAAAGTTAAAAGTTGGTCATTGGATAGATCTCGTCGCGAGGTCATGCTTTAACAAGAAATAGATTCTCTTGATTAAGATTTCAGTCGTAAGAGATCATATATATATATGAATAATATTAATCTCATATAGAAAAACAGAAACCGAACAATGGTCCAGGAAAAATCCAACAATAGATACGAATGACAATATTATTCACAGAGAGAGGGATCATATGAACATTTGCAGTTTTCAGAATTCAAAACAAAATAATTAAATTTTGACAATAAAAATATGTTTACCAAGAGGAACATTAGATATCACACAAACACCAGCAGAATCAGAACATCGTGGAAGTTTATCTAACCATTTGAAAGAGTGGTTCCTTAAAAAGAAATCCAAAGTGACATATAACTGTAAATTGACCCTAAAATGGACTTTTAATAGTTTG